TTAAGGAACTTGAAGCTCTAATGTGAACTAACTTCTCTGAAGATCATATTTTCTAACTGTCAACTACTGGCTCACTGTCATCTATAGGTTCCGTTTTAGATGTTTATAATTCCTCTGGTGTGCCCACTCTTCAATTCTTTCGTCAGACTAGCTCTCGATATGAACAATATTGAATGCGAGTTCGGAACGTGGGGTTCTCAAAATCGATGATAGATGGCGTGAACGATGGAAAATTTCAAGAAAATTTTCAAAATGCGTTTCGAATCTTATTATGAAGTTGGACTAGACTTTCAATGATGTGTTTTTGTTATATTATGGTCATAATTCAATAAACACGAGCACACATGACATGGACAAGGGTTACACTTGCTCACAACTCGGCTGCCTGCCGAATACTATATGAACCAGTCTTCACACACGTCTGTCATAGGCTCTGATCTAAGCACATTCCACTGAGCAGTAGCGCATCTAGTTGCTAGATGCTAACAGTTTTCCTTCTTTCGAGACATGAAGAGTCCCGTTGATGATGCACGAATTCTATAATAGCTGATCTAGAGACAGGACGCAGAAGAGATAGGGCGCAACAAATAATCCGTGTGGAAACATCTTGATCTTGACATATCTTTCACGAGTGTCATGTTTTCAGCATATTCAAAATTTGGTTCCAATTTCAAATAGAGATATCATAAAATAAGAGGATTAGTATAGTTCATTAAGCAAGTATTGATATTATACACACAGTGAATGTATTGTGCTTTCATCATGGACTGACTGCTGCAATGTGTGAGGATTATTTGAAAATCCGAATAATCGATTTATTTCATGTACCAAAAGTGAGTAAACTATTATCACAGGATTTTCTTGAATTAGGACTTCGTGTCGTGTGAAAATGAAAATGTGAACTCAAATAAATGTGTCATGATGCCTGTGAATTTGGTTTGAAACTTCGGAAATTTAGCAAGATTCTCCCACGCCTCGCTATTTTTACAAAGTAAGCGATATCGAGAGATCTCGAAACTCCTCTCAATAGGAACTAGGAAGTGACGAGGGAAGTGATAACAGCATATGACTTTCTATACATCTATGTTCCGTTACCTTAATGTTCATAATATACAGGTATTATATGGTACTATTGGGTGCAGTCCGACCTCGAGTCCGACTGTATGTTAGCATTTTGACTATTCTGACCATTTGAAATATCTCGAATATCCGAGAAAATATCTCCCGAAATATTCCTTCGGTATTCTTACTTCAGCTCCAGGTATTCTATTTGGTGCATAATGTTGCACGCCAACAATTCCTCAGAATTTCTTGTATTACTATTGAACAACGCTCGAACAAATGCCTTTGTTTTTGGTGAACGACGAGAGAGTTTTTTTTTAAATCGGACAATTATATCATGTTATATAGAATCGTAGACTTCCCTCGAGTCATCCTGAATTCGTTTTTGGAACCTCTAATGCCTGTATTAATCCTCCCGCGTGATCATTCAACGAATTATAACCGAATGATACAAATATTCATCGATTAGATGCATATTCAATTAATTTACTATAAAATAATTATCATTACCAACTTACAAGTTTTTCAGAGTTATAGGCGAGATTATAGGTAATTAATATATTGATTGATAAGTACATCTCGCAGGTATATACATCAGCTACGAATTCACATACTCACTATCAATTCCGATTATTTCTCAACCCAACAAATAATATATAGATAGGACAATAGATAAATTAGAAAACAGAAAACTATATTTAATTAGGAATATAGCAACAAAATTAATTGATGTAGGCAACACCCAGTCAGACCTTAATGAGCTTTTTCAACGTCACTCTTAAGCCAGGTGGAGTTACAGCAAAAGCCTTGTAATAATTATGACCCGTATAGGTATTTAATTGAAACCTCCAATGAAACATTAAAACACAATTTACATGAGTGCTAATAGAATGGATGAATGTTTGGATCAAATACGAGATCAAATAGCATCATTATTTGTCTTAACATAAATATTTTTGAAATGTATGTGAAATTCGAGAATTTGAAAGGGTCAGTGGTCGTTTGTGCAAACTAAAAGATATATAGGATGCATTATACTCAACAAAGATGTATGGCCAGATGGCCAGAAAATACATGTGTTTCCTGCAGTTCTGCTTAATCTACAAGATCAAGAATAACACGTGTGCTTTGAATCACTAAAAAGACAACTACTAGAAGGTTAATCTCCCTTGAAATCTTTTCATCTTTCGTGAAGTTTCAGTCGTTTCTAAGGTAGAGGTACGACAATTTTTCTCCGAATTTTCCGTCCACTTTGTATGAACAAGTTTGATTGATGTACACGAAATTGATCGTTAATGACCCCTATTAATGATTATTATGACCTCGATCTTGACTATCAACGATCGATTGTGGTTTAGGCAACCAAAAATACATTTAGTCGTTTCACTGCTGGGACTCCAACTTTTTCAACTTTTGGTTTCATCGACAATTTTTCGTCAACATTTCTGAACCATTTTCATCTTTTTTTCATCACAGAAGGGGTTCCTTTTTCTAAGACGACTTTTGAGGCTATACCTGGGGCTATATATACTATACTGCATTATGGGTGATTGATTCCGGATAAATAATCAATTTAATGAATTCGCGAACCAAATATCTCGGGAAATATGTTCTCGATCAGTCAACAGAAAAATGTAACCAACTCGTTTATTAATAAGACGATTAACGAGGTGATAAATGATCTCGAACCGTCTCGAACTTCATTCTTCCTCGCCAAAAAAGTACGAGACGCAACACTGAACAAATGACTGAATTTTCGGCTCTTTGGAAATTTTATTAATTTTTTTCTAACCGTAGTCCCATCGGCGAGCCCATGGAAAATTTATTCTCCGAAACCAGATGATATGGTATTGAATATTATGTAAGTATACCAAGGTAAGTACCTATCAGAAGGGATATATCCGTCATGACTACTCATGACTCATGAGCGGAGTGTTCAATTTCCAGTTCCATACAATTCCAATTCTGAATCATCCGTCAATCCCGATATCGACCTGTTATCCACAATAACAGATCGATCTGCTCGGTGGTGTGCACATACCTATTTATTCTCGTGGTATTTATCATATCCGAGATTATATACCCTATCGCGATACTCCACTCGAGACTGCACCTCTACGTACACATTGCTCGGTTTGGTATCGGTTTGTCTTGGATTTGTTATCATGAATCATGAATGAATGATATCCGAGCCGTCCAAAATGAGAATTCAGATTTTTTCTGATTCTAGCATCTGTCCCCTAAATACATTCAACGTCTTCTTAAGACGAAAAAATAGGGAAGGAAGTAGTCGTTGTTCGGTAAACACGAGGGTTAACATAAACAGGCGAACTGAGCATGGTTGTTTGAACATGTTTGGTGATGTCAAATCCAAGTTTTCGACCTCGAGGAGGTTGTGGTAAATTTTTGGCAACCAAAAAACCTCGATATTTTAGGAACTCTTTCAGTTTTCCACTTATATCTCGGAAACGGCCAATTCTACGTAAAAAGCCATGATCTGAATTGAAGAAGACTAAATTCTCCGTCGGTCAAGGAAAAAGATATACGGAATCGGTGCCGTATACGAATATTTTCAAAGAATGGTGATTCTTTCAAAGTGCTGTAGCTTCACAACATCACTCTTAAATGCCTTCCTCCTCTCTAAAAGTTGTAGAGTATCAACTGGAAAGCTGTTCTTCGATTTGGAACTTATCCTAAGATCTACGCCGCTCTGGAAGCTTCAAACGTGGTGTCTCAAAACTCGTCCAATTTCTTATTGTATTATTAATTCCTTAGATATCAGTATTGCAGAACCCGTGTCTGCTGGAGACCTGTGAGAGATGGGCGTGAATATAATAAATTCAAGTTCATCCAATTTTGGCATGAGCGGATGCATGACCAATGAAATATGTCCGTCAAATGGCGAAGAGGAAAACCATCATGCTACTGAGGCATTCGCTGGGAAATGCTTACGCATTTTCGGAGACTTTCTTCTAGGCCACCTCTGGTCACCTCTTAGGCCAATAGGCCATTGTCTTCTGAAGCACCATAATGCAAAGATGTTAAGAGCTGTGATTCTTATATTTTTTTCAGTCCCGTAGCTTCTTTCACATAATTTTGGAAGCGGTTTCAAAAGTCAAGTATCAAGGGGATTCCAAGAACTGGTTTCTATTCAAGTGACTTATGAATTTGTTTACAAGCAATTAATATTGACATTCCAGTATTTTCTAGTTGCAGATAAGTTCGTCTAACATTTATTTGCGGTTTAGGATTACACCGAGGATTACACAATGTCAATTTCGAAGGCTGAAGACTGGGACCAAAGTCCTATGAACTGTACAGGTAGGTACCTAGACAGGTACAGAGGAAAATTCCCATTTTTGATGAAATGTCGAATTAGGTAATTGGGCAATAAATTTATTAAAGCAGTATCAGCATGTAGGTATCTAGATGTGCAATCTAAGTTATGATGCTAGAGTTGGCTCTCCAGTTGTCTGTTTTCAATGCACGACTCTTTCGTCATGTCTATTATTCAATTTTTTTCAGCTTTGCATAAATTCGTTTGCTATACAAAGAGGATATAATCGCTAGCTATTCTATTTTGGCACATTCAAATTGGATTTCATTATTCCTTAGCTCTAAATAGAAACTGAAACCTTGAAAAAACAAATTCAATACCAAAGAGCGTCAATAGGCAATTTCTCGAGTCGAATCGAGTACGATAATAAAATAGCAAAACGAAAGACCAAATCGCATTTGGTTTTGCGTGTCGAATCGCCGAGATTGTGTTTATAATCGTTGAAGAGAAACGAGTTTCGTCTAGCAACAAAAGGCAGCGCTCCGCGTAAAATCCGTTCGCCTCTAGAGAAGTCTGGCAATGTTCCAACACGGACTGACGGACGGGGCCTATTCAATTCAAAGACCTCACACACTCACATGAACATCGAATAGAGACCCACCGTGTACTGTAAAAATCCGGAAAAAAGGAGGTGTCCTCTTCGTATGGCGGCGTGACGTTGAGATACATCGCACTATGTTCCAACATAATTAGCAACGTTAATATTTGACTAGACACACCGACAGCTGGTCGCACATTCTCAATAACACACTGCTCCCAATATCACAACACAATCACAATCTTTCAGCGTAAGAACTACTGTTAGTAGGTATTTTAGTACGTGGTTTTGTCGCACGGCACGGCACACTAACCGCGCTCCGTATCGTTTCGTCAGCGTCACTGTAGAAGAATCAAGATAGTTGTGAAGAAACAAACTGGCGGCGGCGCCCGATGTACGAACATACTCGCGACTCGGCGACCGGCAACTCAATGGCAACTGGCGAGTCTACGTAGTCGTGCCGCGAGGTTTTCGATTGGGGTTAGTAGGTCGAAGTGACGCAGTCCGAAGCCGCGAAAACGCACGATCGCCGACAGAACTTCGAGGCTGGCTCGAAAATAGTATTTTTTTCATAGCACTGACCTTAGCATAAGGTGGTTTCCATGTTCGTATAGGTACCTCTGTTTGGCGAATTTTGCGGCAGAGACCTCGACAGGAAAAAAGAGCCGTGCTGCCGATTATTCTTCATCACAGTCATCGTCTTCCGAGAATGTGGCGCAGGAATGGATATACATAATAGGCTTCATCGCCTTTGAGTAGAAAACGAGTAATTCCTACAGTATTTTCCTCTTCGCACATTTCAGATGCACAGTACCGTTGCGTTATCCAATATTCAATATAATTTTCCGTCACTATTTCTTCAATTTACAACTCAGTATAGTTAGTAGCAGTTGCTGCCAGGCAAATGGCCTTCGTATGCCCTTTGTGCCAACACCTGCTCTTCACATGTCTATACCTCCGTCCCTCCGTCTACTTAATCTTCCCGCTGCAGCATATTGGCATCAACGTGTATGAATCCCAAAACTTCCGTATGTTCCTGAGTCGTCAAAGGAATACGACGTATAATTTGGGTATAGTCATAGTCAGACTAGTTAGAGATAACCTCTATGCTTCGCCTAATAAACCCTTATGTTCTGAAAATTATCCAGTGCAATTATTGAACTTCTTTGACACCTCCAAGAGACATTGCATGGATCATCCTTCCACCCTGTATTCCACGTGATTTCTCCGTTATTACCTTGTACATCCACAACAGCCTCACTGAAGCGTGGTATACCTTTTTTGCGCCAAAAAGTATTACTCCTCAAATTACGAAGCTTCTGATTGGACAATTCAGGTTCAAGGGAGGCCTCTGCCATTATTCTAAAACAACGATAAAAAACTTTGGAACCAATAAATTTGATATGTTTTGTGATTCAAACTCGATAGCCAGAAACAGGCCGAATATTTCTGTTGTCTCTACTGATCACCAAATGATGATAAAGAGCTCTTCGAGTTCTTGTCTCTAAAACTTGACCTAATTCAAGCAGCTGAAATCATCATCATGGGCAATTCCAGTGTACACAACACTGCTTGGTTCGTACAGTTCAACAACACGGATGAAGCTGGGCTTAGAGCAGCTTATCAAGGAACCCACACGAATTATCGATGTCAATAGCCATTCAGCTACCACACTTGACGTTTTTCCTCACCAATAATTCAGCACCTTACTCCATACATGTACGAGCTCCACTTGGCAATTCTGACCACACACTCATCTCCACAACCTGCCCATTTTTGATTCCATCAACTGTTCCAGCGCCCCACGTGTCATATGGCATTATAACTCAGGAGACTGAAACGGTCTCCGCATATTTTTCTCCGAGTTTTCTTGCCACAGAGTATGCTTTGATTCTGAAGATCCTTATTCACCTACGGAAATATCCGAGATCATCACGCTTGGAATGGAGTCATTAGGTTTGTTCGTGTTCCAACTTGTGGAAACGGTCCTCGGACTGCGCAGAATCAGGTGCACATCAAAATCAATCCTAAACAAGTCTGGGATCTTCTATCTCAAAAATATGCTGTGTATTGAATCACGTGCCTCGAGGGCATATTCAGGTTGGGGTTATGTTGATATTAACATAAAATAATCCTTAAATTCTGGACGTGAATATAAAATGAAATGAATCCTGAATTCTTAATCTGAGTACATATAGATTTATTCAAAACCACTATTCTCCATATTGGTCTTGAGGATTTCCAGCAGATAACAGTTCAAAAACGTTTTGTTTTCATCTGATCTTGAAGATAGGACGATGCGCCGGAGCTAATATGCTCATTGTTCCTAATATTGATTGATTTTTTTCAATAATTCCATTCTTCATCTTATTCATGACAGTCTTGGGCAGTTCTTGCCTAGAGGCTCGTACTGCTTTGGACTGATTCGAAACTATCCCAAACTAGTTGGTATAAAACGAAATCAGGTGATCTGTGGAATACGAAACAGTCCCGAGAAAACGCAAACACTTATTTGCCACTGCGCCTGCTACTGATGGTTTCGGAGTTTGTGAACGCGAATAAATATCTATTCTTCGAAAATATCATCACCTTCGACACCCTGGTTCAACAAGAACTAATCTAGAGCTGTTGCCTTCAAACAAAGAGCCTACCATCGCTCTCGCAAAAAACCCTGATCTCGTGACTAGAGCAGAATATGTTGAAGCCAAAATACGATCGAAACTGATAGATAGTCCCAATGGTTCCCGTTCGTTTTGGTCCCTCGCTAAAGAAGTCGGAAGGAATTAGTTCATTCCCACCACTCTTCAAAGCTGACAGCACTTTCGCAATAATATCGCAAGAGGAAGCAAACATTTTTACAGAGATGCTCGCAGCAAACTCCACCTTAGATTCCCAAAATCGTTTTCCGTCAACGCATTTTGCTTGGTCTCAAAACGAATAACGCTAACGGTCCTGATACGACTTCCACCCACTATTCTCAAAAAGTATACACCAGCATTGACACCCATTCTTTCCAAATTATTTACCATCTCATACAAGTAAGGAATTTTTTCATCTTGCTGGAAAATAGCTATAGGTCAAACCAATCCCCCAAAAAGGAAACAAAAACCTGCCCAACAACTATAGGCCAATTGCTTTATTATCAGATATCTCCAAAGTGATGTAGGAAGCCATCAACATTGAGCTTATCAAATATCTGGAAAGAAAAGTATTCCCAAGAGATTATATGATCTCCATCAAGAGTTCAAAAAAAATCCCTATACCTACCTCTTCTCCCTATCCAGATCCACCCTATAGGCGCGCACGATGTTTTTTGAACATTATAGGTATTGCCTTTCGTGCGCTCGAAAAGATAAACAAATCTTTACCTATTGAGTGATATTCGCACGTTTTACGCCAAAACACTATGTAATTGATGAAGCCGCTTTATAAGATAGCCATCAGGCACATTAGTGACCTAACTCAAACAAGATAACTCTGCATCTTACAGCATCGAAGGAACGTTGCGGAGATTCAACTTTTTGATCAATATTGTAGACAATTGCTGCTTTTCAATTGCGACAGCGGTAACTACGAAACTCCGTAAAAATGGTAATGAAAACGTTGTCGATCAATTCAGGATCTACTCGAAGTTACTCGGTGCTACTCACTGTATAGCACTTGAAAAGCGGCTAATAGCAGCAACTGTTGCCCTGCATTGACTTTCAAGTGGATTGGTTCAAATTTGTATCGCATCGCACCTCTACTTATTCATTGAGTGGTCAAATATTCAATGCAAGAGTATTACAATATATCGCCTTCAAGATGATTAGTCATTATCGCTATTTTTCTTCTCATCATAGATTTCTCTTTTTGTGAGCATTTCTCATGATCTAAGAGATCTATTATGATTTTCTCTGATGTTGAGTCACTGAGCAGTGAACAGTTCCCTCAAAAATTCTTCCTTATGGAAACTTTTATACCTGTTCCAGTTCAGGTATAAGTATATATCTTCCTCTGCTATTTGATACATACATTGGGCTACAGAGTTTTGCAGAGCAGTTTATTTCGACATCAGAATATGGACAGATGTTTCTTCCTTTACTTCGCAACAATTTACATTTTTCTTCATTCTGAGGTCTCCTCTCAGTCTGCAATTCCCTGTCAGGATTCGGAGATAGTGGATGTATTGGTTCAAATTTGTATCGCATCCCACCTCTACTTATTTATTGAATGGTCGAATATTCAATGCAAGAGTATTACAATATATCGCCTTCAAGATGATTAGTCATTATCGCTAATCGCTATTTTTCTTCTCATCATAGATTTCTCTTTTTGTGAGCATTTCTCATGATCTAAGAGATCTATTATGCTTCCCTCTGATGTTGAGTCACTGAGCAGTGAACAGTTCCCTCATAAATTCTTCCTTATGGAAACTTGTATACCTGTTCCAGTTCAGGTATAAGTATATCTTCCTCTGCTATTTGATACATACCTAATTTCTTCTGCTATTATACAATATATCGTCCTTCAAGATTATTAGTCATTATCGCTATTTTTCTTCTCATCATAGATTTCTCTTTTTGTCACCACTTCTTATGATCTAAGATAAGAGATCTATTGTGCTCATGAATTCTTCCTCTCGGAAACTTATATACCTGTTCCAGTTCAGGTATAAGTATACCTTCCTCTGCTTTGATACATACCTAATTTCTTCTGCTATTTGATACATATCTGTCCATTGGGCTCCTGAGTTTTGCAGAGCAGTGCATTTCGACAGAATATGGACAGATGTTTCTCCCTTTACTTCGCAACAATTTACATTTTTCTTCATTCTGAGGTCTCCTCTTAGTCTGCAATTCCCTGTCAGGATTAGGAAATATTTCTTGTGGAATTTGACGTAGTCATTAAATCTCTTCAGGATATATTGCCCAAGAAATGTCTCCGCTTGTCACTCCAGTGATAAGACCTTTCGTTTTCTCTAGTTCTCTCTTTAGGTATTGCATTACTATGCCGCAAAAGGCGCAATATGCCCGGCTGACAATTTTAGCTTGATCAACCATAGCACGTTGACTCCCTTGAGGTACGGGGTGTGTGTGTCTCCCCTAAAATTAAGGTTGGTGCACCGAGATGCCTTCCACATGTACTGATATCCTTTTATTCAGTGGGGCACCGCGTATGACCCTCAAACGCCTATAATTCCTTAATCAGGCACGACACAGTAGGCAAGACGCGCAAAAAAGCCCACGAAAATCATTTTCAGTTTCGATTATTTGTCATAAGTTTGTATCATGGGTTAGAATTTCCTGCACAGAGCTCACAGACTCTTCATTTTTAGAAGTTATGGATGTAATGGATTTACTGAAATGATTGATTTATTTCTGGGGGAAAAAACAAAGGCAATTCAAATAAGAACGAGGTCTACAAGAAAATAATACAATTAGTTG